CCCCTGCCCGGGGCAGGGGGTGGAACTGGATGAGCTTTGAGGTCCTTCCAACCCAAACCATTCCAGGATTCCATGATGCAGCTGTGAGACTCACACACAGAGAACAGTCACAGACCAACACTCTTTGCCCCAGATAAACCCTTGAACCAGGTTTTATTTGGGATGTAAATAACACACAGGTCTTGATTTAGGCCTTGGCATGGAGATGATATCCCCAAGTGAGACTTTATGAGCTGGAAAACTTTGATTTATATAATTCATTGGGCAAAAAGACTTCCATTTGTAAATTTTTTTATTATTATCTGTTATACTTATTGACATACAGATCGAAGAGAAGAATTATCTGCTGCATCAAGCCTATGTGTTAGCCAAAACCTGATCTTCCACAGAGGTGCCCAGGCTGGATGTGCAGATCTCAAAATACTGGGAATTAGCAGATTTCTCAGTGAGGCTTGTGCTGAGCCTTTAATAGCTGCACTGTTTAACCAAATAACAGTTAATATTTCCCTTGAATTCACCACTCTTGACTTCCAGCCCTCATCCCTGTTTTTTCCACCTTTCCCTGATGAGTTAAAGAGCCTTTTGCTCAGTGTTTCAAGTCCTGTCTGGCCTAGTGGGTCCTTTTCTGTTCCCAGGAACACATCCCATGCCACGTTGTGTAAGGGAGGAGGCAACAAATTCCTGAGGATAACTCTGTCCTCATTCCACTGGAGCTTTGGGACATCCCAGGGACCAAACCCTCCTCCCAGTAGTGGCTCCCCAGGGATGCTCAGCCCCTTTCCCTCCTCCCAGTCATTAAGGAAGAGCTCCAGCACACACAGGGTGCAGGGACACTTTGGTTATCTCTCCATCAATCTCTCCTGCTCTCCCAGCAGTTAATTCTTCTGGAGTTTTCTGCCAGTTGGATCTGCTCTGTAGTTTCCAGAGGAGGCTTAGCAGGGAGCTGAGTCTGCTGGAGCAGTAACAATAATAAACTGTGCAGCTATAACCTTGTCTTTAAGGGCTGAGGGGGTAATGCTGTTAATATATGAACATGTTCAATAACCTCAGTGCCTGTCATGGGCTGATTTAAGCAACTGCAGAGTCATTTATTAAAGGAAGACTATGGCTGAGGACATGGAGAAGTCTGGTGTCTGGGAACTGGGAGTGGACTAGACTAGCAAATGGGGATCTTCAGCCAACAGGCATTGATGGCCTTTCCACAAGCACCTTTGAAGTGAATATGAAGCTCCTTGTCCTTTGTGACCTCCAAGCAGAGGCAGGAGCAGCTACACAGTGAGCTGTTCCATGCACTTGGTCTAGAAATTGGGAGGAAACTTAAGGAATCAGGACATGAGAGGCTAATGTGAGGCTGAGTGAGAACAGAAAATAGCTGGGGAAAAGCACAAGTCTGCACAGGGAGGGATTAATGTGCCAATGCTCACCCACAGGTGGCCAAGGAGGCCAAGGGCACCTTGGCCTGGCTCAAGCCCAGTGTGGCAGCAGCACTAGGGCAGTGTCATCCCCCTGCACTGGGCACTGGGGAGGTCCCAGCTCAGTGCTGTGCTCAGCTTTGGGCACTCACTGCCCAAAGGCCATTGAGGCACTGGAGAGAGTCCAGCCAAGGGCAACGAGGGCAGCAAAGGGCTAGAGCACATGGGCAAGGGCTGAGGGAGTTGGGCTTGGTTAGCCTGGAGAAGAGGCTCAGGGGTGACCTCATGGCTCTCTGCAACTCCCTGACAGGGTTGGAGAGAGGTGGGGGATGTCTGTCCTGCCCTGGCTGCAGGGAGAGGACTAGAGGGAATGGACTTGAGCTGAGCCAGGGCAGAGTCAGAGGAGATGTTAGGAGAAATGTTTTCCCTGGGAGGGTGTTGAGGCACTAGGATATTTCCCAGGGAGATGGTAGAATCACCATCCCTGGAGGTGTTGAAGAGGTGTCTGGAGGCACTGAAGGATCTGGTTTAGGGTTTAGGAGTTCCAACAGTGACAGGTTAATGGTTGGAGTTCATGCTCTTAGAGGTCTTCTCCAACTTTGATGATTCTCTAAGTCACCCAAGAGCAGTGGAAAAGGGGCTGCACTTCCCTCCAGGGGCTGGAGATGAGTGACAAGGGAAAGCTGGTGGTTCCAGTGTCCCTCTGGGAATGTGGCCAAAGGAAAAGCTCTCCCCAACCTTCCTGAAAGGGAAAACTGTTAGACTGCAACTTTTTCTTCATTTCCTTCCTGCTAAGAAAACAAAGAAGAAGCTGCTTAACCTCTTTTAAACAACTCTTAGAGGCCACAGGCACAAACCTCTTCAGAAAGAGGTACCACAGTGGAGGGAAAGACACCTCATCAAAGAGGTACCTTAATATCTGGTCCAGAAACAGAACATCAAATCAATCCTTACAAACCAAATTTCCCAGCCTGTTGTTTCCATCAGCTAAAGCAGCACACAAAAAAAAATCTCATGGATTTATTACCCTAAATTTTCCCTGCAGTTCTGTAACCGAAAGGAACAACTTTACTTCTAGTGACAGAAAGGCACAAAAATCCAGACAAATAGTGAAAAAAGAGAAAATATTTAAAGCTCTTTCTGTTGCAAAAGTTTTCTTGGAACACAGACATGGATTTTCTGGAGGGGGGGGTGGGGGGGGGGGGAGGTACATTTTAACCAGATAAAGATCCTCATTAAACATAACAATAAAACCCCCTTTAACTGCTTCCAGTCTAGTTGAGAGTTTAGAGCATTAGATCATGCTGGAGAGATCTACCACAGCCAGAATGAAGACAACTCCACAGATCTCCCCTTGGAGTTGACACTGAAGGCTAAAATTAACTCTGGAAAGCTGATTTCTAAAAAAGCTTCAACTCAGCTCATATTTTTGCAAGTGCAGCCAGGGCTGTGAGCTGCAGCTTCTCCATTCTGCAAGTCACTGTGGTTGCAAAACCTCCCAACCCAGGCAGGAGCTTCCTAATGAATCAGGGCACAAACTTGTGCTAGACATCTGCAAAATTAGCTGTGACACATCCAGTTCTGCAAAGCTCCTGCACCTCTGGGTCACTCTCCATCCCCAGCAGCAGTGACTGTGTAGCTGCTGATTTTATCAGCACACAAGGCTTTGTCTCACTCTTCCAAAGATCCTTGTGTCTCCATCAGCAAAGCAAAGAGCTTGGATCCAAGCTCTGTGGAGTACCAGCATCACCCCAGGACACAGCCAGGGCTCTGACTGTCACCCCCTGCCAGCAAAGAGCCATTTCCATGCAATTCCAAGTTACCAACATGCAACTATTCCTCCTGAAATCACCAATCCAGGCAAGTTCTGCCCCTTCCATGCATCCATAGGCAAATGGCTACTTTTCCATTCAAATCCCAACACTGGATGGTTGGTTTTTGAAGGAAGCATTTCCATGCTCCCTTCCCCATGCCAAGCTGAAGAAGGGAAGTCCCTTGGAGGCAAGTGTCTATGTGCAAAGCACAAGTGGTGCAGTCAGTGCTGACAGCTCATGTGCTTCAAGGGAGCAGAGATGAAGAGCAAAGCAGCCAGAGAGGTGGTGGAAAGGATGGTTTGATCACAGCATCCTGAACAAAAGCCTAACAGAAGCATGGTGGAAAGTGAGGTGAAGTGAAGGAAGAGGCTGAATGGATTCACCTCTCAAAGGGAAACCTCAGAACAAAGGAAAAGCAAGAGGGGAAAGAGAAAGGAAATGACTCAGAAATAGCTCCAGGCTGGGAGGGAGAGAAAGAACCATCGCTCTCGGATCTGCAGCAGGAGAATTTGGCATCGAATTCAGTATCACTTCCCCATACTCCTAGTGATTACCAGCACGTTGTTCCCCAGAAATCACCCACCAGCTTTACCAGCAAAGCCCTCAGCTCCAGGCACTGCCCCCCTCCCCTCAAATCACCTACTGTCTGGGTCATTTCTCTAGCAGGGACATCCTCCAGTGTCCCTTCTGGGCAGCACATGTGCCACAGTCCATGCAGCACCCAGTGCCTCTGTGCCACTCCCTTAGGTGACACTGGTTTTTTTGTCCCTTCCACTGCTTTTTGGGGGTTTGATGCTCTTCTTGAGCAATGAACCCTCCCAGCTGTGTCATCTTCTGAGCTTTGCAATGATGGAGCTACAGACAATGGTCATTTTATATCGATGTCAAACTGCAATCACAAAGCTGAACTCAACATCTTTATTGCAAGACTTGCTGCAATCAAAGATGGAGAGGAGATCTGTCAAACCCAAGGTGCCAGAACCCTACAAGAAGTTAAAGGGCACCTCTGGCACTTTTGAAGAGTTCCATTACCCACTGTCTCTTGGAATAGAATTGTGGGTTTGCTTGTTCCTGATGGCATTCACTCACACACTCCCTGAGGCAATGACAAAGGTCTCTTGGCAAAGAATATCTGGTGGCAGTGAGGTTGAGGATCATTAATGACTAGATGTCCTGGAGTGGATCATTAATGACTAGATGTCCTGGAATGAAGGTCTTGAAAGCAAAAGTCTATTGATATGGAAGAGAAAATGTCCAAGCTCCATGCAACTGCGAAGGATGAAAATGGGCAGCGCCAACAGGTCTTGAGAGCATGAAAACCACCCAAAGATGTGTCCAGGGGCTCAATCAGGGATGTCTGCCTGGAGTTTATGTGTTGGGATGATTCCCTTTAAGAAGCACAAGGATGGTGCAGATGCTCTGGTGCCTGCAGCCACAACACACACCACCAAACCTCTACTGGAAACACCACCCAAATCACAACTCCCTCATCCCCCTCCCTCCATCTCCTGGGCTTTTCCACATCATGGCAACACTTCCCCTTTCCCCTTTCACCACTGCCCCCAAGAAGGCTGGGAAGTGAAGGCACTAAGGAGAGGAGCTAGGAGCTGACTGGGTCTTACCTTTGGTTTTAAAAGCAAAGTTACAGTACTTGCAGACGTACGGCCTGACGTCTGTGTGCGTGCGGATGTGTTTCTTCAGCATGCTGGGTTTCTTGCAGCGAATTCCACACTCCTCACACACATATTTCCCTCTTCCACGGCCTCGCACATACACATACTCTTCGTTTGATTTGTACCTATGAGCAACAGGTGTCATGGTAAAACAAAAAAAACAAAAAAAAAAAAAAGCAGAGGCCACCTCAAAAGTCATAACTTTGTTGGATTAGTTCAGCACCATCTGGATATCAACTGGGCTGGTTTGGTTTGAAATCTCTAGGGATGAAGTAAAGATGTCATTTTTGGGCTGGGTTGGGCTGAGGTAGAGTTAATTTTCTTCCCAGTGGCTAGTGTGGGGCTGTATTTGAGTTTGTGCTGAGCACAGGGTTGAGAATCTAGAGATATGTTTGTTCTTGCTGAGCTCAAACAGAGCCAAGGACTTTGCTGCTTTCCTTCTGCCTCAATGGTGAGGAAGTTGGGGGTGCAGGGGAGGTTGGGAGAGACACAGCTGGGACAGGTGACCCAAACTGACCAAAGGGATATTCCATACCATAGGACAGCAGTACAAAATATAGTATATATTATTAGTATATAAGACAGTATATGTTTTACTGTGAGGGTGGTAAGAAACTGGCACAGGTTGTCCAGGGAGGCTGTGGTTGCCCCAACCCTGGCAGAGTTCAAAGCCAGGTTGGTTAAAGCCTTGAGCAACCTGCTCTGGTGGGAGGTGTCCCTGCCCAGGGCAGGGGGTTGGGGCTGGATGATCTCTAAGCTCCATTCTAACCCCTAAATTTCTATGACTCTATGACAAAGTAGGGGAAGGAGGAAGAGGAGGACATTGGGAGTGATGGCATTTGTCTTCCCAAGTAGCCATTCCATATGTCCCCACTCTCCTGGAGGTGCTGAACACCTCCTGCCCATGGGGAACAGGGGTTGAATTCCTAATTTTGCTTTGCTTGTGTGTATGGCTTTGGCTTTCCCTATTAACCTATCTTTATCTCAACCCAGCAGTTTTCCAGCTTTTACCCTTCTGATTCTCTCCCACATCCCACTGGTGGGGAGTGACCAAGTGAATCCATGGGGCTTGGCTGCTGCAGGGGTTGAACCACCACACTCTTCAGTGTCCTTCCACCTTGGAAGGTAGAATGCCAGAAACTGAGCACATCTTTCCAGCTCAGTAGTGGAAGACTAAGAAAAAGACTACCTTACTTTCTCTGAACTTCTTTTGAAATTCAAATCAGCCTTAACACAATCAGAGAAAAATTGTCATGACACCTTTATAGACACTCCTAACCATTTGTTTCTAGCAATGGGCACAGGCTCTTGAGAAAAAGCCTCTAGCTCCAAGCACAAGGTACTGTCTCAATGGTTTGAGCCAGCATTTCTGAGCTCTCAGGGTTGGCAGTGTTGGCCTCCAAGCCATGGCTTGTCACAGACTGAAAGCAGCTTCCCAGTGCAGTTCTGAGCTCTGGATCTCTGAGCTCTGGATCTCTGAGCTCTGGATCTCTGCCTCCCTTTGACCTTACCAAACCCAAACAAATGGCAAAAGCTTCCTCTTTCTTCAGCACCAAATACACTACTTCAAGAAAAGCCTTCATCACATCTCCACATCATTGCTTGCAATACTTTTATCCTGCTTTTTGCAAAGCCTGGAGAGGAGAAGACTTCTAGGAGTTAGACTAAGTAGAGAATGTTGTCAAAAGGTGTTGCCCAGTTGCTACTTCCTCTTCTGGGTTGTGGTTTTATGGTCTACAGGTGCTTCACTGGACAGCAAAAAGCCCAAAAGCTGAAATAAGTCCCAAGGTCACCCAATGTCCTGGTTTTCCCCATCCTCAAGCACAAAGTGAGGCAATCCCTGGCTGAGGTCAGTCCCAGTCCAGCCTGGCTGCCTCAATCACCTCTCTCCCAGCTTATGCTGTGGTTTAAAACATGCACAGTCAGTCCCTGCACCATGCAAAGCCCTGAGAACACACATCCCAGCTAAACCTCCTGGGACATAACCTTCCCACCCCTTGGGACAAGAGTGAAAGCCATCTGAGAAGACACTGATGCCACACTTCCAGCTGTGATCTCTGCACAGACTCCTGCTAGAAGGGTTCTGCTAGAACCCAGAATGGACACAAAGAGAAGAAAACATCCAGTTTTTTAACCTCAATTATGCTACCACTAAATGTAACTACCACAGACTCCAGGCTCTTGTATCTTTGGCACCATATCAGGACTTAGGTTTACCCAAGAGAATGAGATTGGTCATCCTTCCTCCACTTTATATATTCATCTCTTTTCTGGCCATGCAGTAGAACATAGGGAAGTTTACATGATGGGGGGTTTGAAAAATGCTTGTAAGGCTGAGACAAATCATTTAGCCTCCTGCTGTGCAGCAAATGAACTCTGCAATTTCCTGTCTTTGCAGCACAAGAAGAATAAGGTAACACGAAATTGGTCCCCTCAGATGTTAAAGAGGCCAAATTTTTGAAGCCTGGTACTTCTTGCAACTAATTTTTCTATCCAGAAGGAATTAAATCTGTGCTTCAGACAGCTCCAGACATCCACCTTGGAAAATCAGACCTTCTCAAGCATCTTAATAGGAGATCCAAAGACATCCAACACCATCAGTCAACCTTGTAGTATCTTCCCAAGAAAGTCTATTCCAAACCAGAATGGTGAGAAAACAGCAGCCAGAAACTGTATAGAAACAGCAGCACTAGGATAGATTGAGCACTTAAATAAGTGAAACTGTAATAAATCCTAAAATCCTATGGATTTATAATGAAGGGGGGAAAGGGTCATTTAAAACCGAGTAAAAAAATACACAAAGATCATTAATCCAGCCTTGAATTCATAGGGTGAGAATGGCATGGTCTGAGCAGGAAAACACATCCCAGTTAGCCACAAGTGTGGATGTAAAAGCAATAAATCACAGTGAGAGACCTCTTGGTCTCCTACCCATACAGAACACACATGGCCTTGGCTCCACTTTGCTTCATTCACTTAGGAAGAGTACAAGTAACTTCAGTTCCCCCTGGGTGTTTGGGGACCTACTACACCTGAAATTCAGGATAACATTCCTGAGTGCCACCTGGCACCTGTGGGTTGGGACTAAGCCCTTCCTCTCCTGCCAAGTCCTGGTCTCTGTCTCAAGGTCCTATCTGTAAGAGTCAGACTGAGGCACTTTGCTCTGTAACAGAGATGTGAGTAGATGCTTAAAGGATGATAAGTTGCTCATGCATTAAGGTCATGAGGTCACAAATTCAGGTTTGGACACAGAGTAGAGAGAGGAAGAATAGGAGTTCACACAGCCCCAGTCTATACCAGTAGCAGCACCAGAATAACTAGGTCTTGGTGTCCAACAGCTAAAAGTGAGGGAACAGCTTGTCTTTCTCTCCTTCAGCATCAGAAATTGTTTAGATCATATCCAGGCTCATCTGATAGCGTTTCTCTCCTTCAGCATCAGAAATTCTCTAGATCATATCCAGGCTCATCTGATAGCTCAGATACTCTGTGATCTACTGGGACTGAACCACAGCAATGTCAACTACCTCATGACATTCCCAACCCTCCAAAAGAAAAAAAAAAACCAACCCAAAAAGCCTAAAACCCAGCATCAAACCCCTTCATCAGAAGGTACTCATTATCTGGCCAGAGGGGCCTGAGCTAGTGTCTGAAGAGCACACACTGTCTCCCAACCTCCACCCCAGTATGCCCAGTTATCTCCACTTAACCATCTGGACTCCAGGGCACATAGAACTCAATGGTAGAGATTTTCCATGTCCTTTCTTCAGTCAGTCAGTGACTTAGTGTTAAAGCAGCAAGTGGAGCAAAAGGAGCCAGGAAACCTGATTTCTCTTCTGATCTGTATTTCAGGCTTCCTTCTTGCCCTCCTTTCTTCCTGTCACTGTGCTGGGAATCACCTTGGATTTAGAAATGAAATTGCTCCTTTATCAGCCTTGTACTTGCACTCCCCTTAATTACAGTCTCCCATGGAAATCTCTGAGCAAGTCCTTTGTGCCCAACAGTCCCTTCATCAGCCTCATTAAGGCAATCAGGGTTGGGGAAAGAGATATGTGATTCCATCTGAAATGAGACATTGCAGCTTATCTGACACTCAGGGACACTGAGCCATTCTCCAACACAGATATTTCCCTCCAGCTCCCTGAGTCCATGTGTAAAACAGACAGGGAGAGGTGAGAAAGAGGAAAAGAAAGGAAACCTTGAGGAAAACCATAGCCAACAAGAAGAAAGCCAGAGGTGCTAGTGCCATAACCCAGAGGATGCTGTGCAATGCCATCTGCCATACTGAGGGCTGCAGTGTGTTTCTGGAGATAACTACTTCAAGATGCTTCTGGTTTCTCTGTTTGTAGGCTCATATGATTTGCATCAGAAAGACAAATCAATGACAGCTCACTTCATGTGAAGATTTACCCTGGGCAAAGGCTCTTCCTGCTCCAAAAGGTTTGCTGGAAGCAGATCCCATGAATAGCCACACTTGAAGTTTGTGTCAGCAAATTTGGATTTCTCTTCCAGAGCACTGTGGAATTCATAATCCTGTAGTTAGCAACTTACACCTCCTGCAGTGCCACACTCCCATCTAATGCTGAGCTGATTCCAAACCCAGGAGGTTAACTGCCCATTAGGAGCTCAGAGGCTGATTTAGGAAATAGCTCTTTCAAACACACAAATTGAGTTCTCCGATGCATTTTGGGGAGGTTATTTGCTGTGTTCTACTAGCAAATGAAGAGCTGTGGAATTTATGCAGCCACTACAACCACTTTTCAGGGCAAGAGGAACTGGCAGTGCTGGTGCCATCAGCAATAGCAGATTCATGAGCATCACTGACAGGAGGCACAACAAACCCAATGATGGGAAAACATGAACCTGGAGAAAGCTTTGCCTCAGCTCCTTCCCTTCAACTTAGCTGAAACCTAAACCCACAAAGCATTTATTCCTTTGCAGGCTTCAGGAGGTTTAGTTCTCCAGATCTGCTGTTACACATACCTGACTCTCCTTTTTAGCCACAGACACTTCTTTTTCTCCCTCAGTGCTGTGAACCACATCCAAAAGCTTCATGTGGCTGCAAACCACACGATAAAACCTTGGAGAGCTGAGAGGGAAGGAAGTTTGGTGGTTCACAGGCAGGAAG